ATCGTGATTAGCAAAACGTACGTGAACCATGTACCTTTGCTTTCAAGCCACGATTCATTCGGATTAAAGTGGCTAGAATGTCTCGAGCGTATGGAACGATCTGATATGAAATTTTTGAAAACATTACGCAATTTCAGACGACATCAACTCAAAACGTTCCTCGAGTCTTTGCATTCAAGGTTCGTGCACACTTTTAACTCTTTTAACAATATTTTTTCCCCTTGGATTAATTTTTTTATTTCTCCAATTTAAAGGGGATAAATTGTACACCAAAATCATGCAATTAAAAAAATATAGGTCACCGTGCTCGTTCAAGAGCTTAAGACCATCGTACCTTTTTACCTGGTCCATTCATTGAAAAACAATACCGTGTTCTTAGAACAGGGGCATGCTTTTTTGCCTGATTACCGTCATTATTCGAATTATTGCGGCGTTTAATCGAAGCATTTATTTATAACCTATGTAAGCAACTCAAGTATCTATCTTTAAACAGAAAAGACAACATTCAATCTAAACCAGTCGTACAAATTTATTTTTCTCGATTGTAATGTTATTCAGTTCAAAGTGGCTATACTTCATAGCTTTGCGTCTTAGCTCTCTCTCTCTAAAACTTCTGCGATGCACAATTCCGTGGTAACAGCCGAGAATCTTGCAGTTACAACTAGTCCGATTTCTCTCTTTCTTTTGCCAGTGACTTTCGCAAATAAGTTGTTTTCAGTGTTTGCGCGTAGGAAGTTATTTAATAAGCTAGACAGGTCGATTGGGACGTGGCCAGCAAGCGTCTTCTTCGAATTCGGCTGCTTCGTACCTTTGGGACCGGGAGGTTTATAAACACCAAATGCCTTTTCATCCAGCTCCTTCGCTTCTTTGCGAGTATCTTGCTTCGAGTATTTCATTTACTACAGGCGTCCACACAGACTTGTAAACATGGTGACGTCGGATGATCGTGTCAAAGTCTACCTTAAAATACGGACCACGAAGGAGACAGTGACATTGAAATAGACTGAAAGTCTGAAAGTATTTAAAGACAGTGAACAATTCAATTTTCATATCATAATCATATAAATTGAAAAGACATATAGATTTTATTCTTAGTTTTTTGGGGGTTGATTGTGTTGGTTAAATTACACCATAAATTCACAGTTGTTGGTACAAGGTTTGCAATAAACGCCTCCCTCGAATAAACGCCGCATCTTAAGTGCCAAAAATTTAATAAACACCGCGACGTTTATTCGAATAGTCACGGTACGTGATTTTTGTACGCAGTACAGGATGCGCAATGCAATACTGAGAATCGAATTAAGTCTGGTCCTGGTGAGCCCTAACCTGCTGCAAAATTTTTGTCATAATTTGAAAAAACAAGCACACTTTTTGCACTTTTTCAAGTAGCACTGCTTGCACAATCAGCATAGTTTATTTTTAATATTTTTAGAGGAACATTACCAGAGTCATGGCTTGCGTGGTCTCCAGGATCAGGAACCCATCACTTCGTGGGCTTCTACTGAGATTGGTTATTTTCAATTTCGGGCCAAGTTTCGGTCTATTTTCAATTTTGCAATGTCTGGGGAAAATTGCGTCGTTCGTCTTCCAGAGGACTGGGCACCTCAGAAGTAAAGATTGCATCGGTCCCAGTTCCCGCTTTCCCGGGGAACAAAATGGCCTCTAGAAACATTTTGATACGAGAAGAATAACAGCAACCTGATAGGTCAGAAAGTAGATATCGCATTCAATATGTGATATTAAACGTGATACAAGAGAATATAAACAGTTAATATTCTCTTGACGTAATACTAACATGGTACATTTTGGCGGGATTTTAAAATATTAAAAAAAAAAATTAAAAATGATAATTTAATAGACAGGACATTGAGGGGGACGAAAAAAGAACTTATGATATTTTCGAGGTTTTTTTTCTCAAAATAAGGGTCAACAACCTCCTTAAGTCTCTGCTTCAAATACGGGGTAAAGGGCCCTATTTAACTATGTTTTTCATCGGAGGAAGTATATAACTCAAGACAAAGAAGATCTATGAACCGACTGTTGAATGGGGTTGAACGTGATATCATGAATTATCAATGCCGAGTTCTGAGTTTCGAAGCCGAAAGGTAATGCAGATAATGAGGACACGCGTACACGGGATTTAATAATTCATGATACCATGCGAAAACCGAATGCAATAATTGTTTTCTTACACATTTTTTTACACATTTTTTGCAAAAAAAGGCACTTCTCTGTGACTTTGCGAAAGTTTGAGAACACTAAACGGATCACGAGGGGGTTGGAACTCGACATGTGATGCAATATTATGATATTGGGTTATCATGTCAAATTAACACGCCGTTGCATATTGACTGTATGGTCTCGACCAGTCAGAGTTTTGAAAGCAAGTCTACTGTATAAAAATTGCTAGAATTCGAGTACTATAATTTCCCCGAGCAATGGCTCGAATTCGAGTGCTATAATGTCCCTGAGAAAAGGCAAGTCTTTGTCACGGAGGAATATGAACCCAGTTAAACTCGTGTTTCTAACTTAAGATTATTGAAAAGAGAAATAGCTCAGATTCCGACGAAGTTAATACCAGCACGATTCGCCGCGAAGCGAAATCGAATCTTCCTCGTTACCAGGGTCCTGTTGGGTTGGTTATAAAAAGAAGACGTGACTTACTATTGGTAACATTTCCTTTAACATCCCTGGAGAGTATTGAAGCAGGTTTCCAACAATTTTACAAGCTACCAGAGAATTCAGGAGATATATATCATAGCAAGTCAGGTATGTTGGACTCCCGTTATAAATATGGCGATAAAACAAATCATCTGTGTTTACAGTAGAACAAAATTGACTTTCACCGAGTCCTGTCAGGTAAAATCAGCTGACCAATGTTGCTCTATACAAATCATGATGTTGCTCTTATCCAGAGTGCTGTTTCATATATCTGGCCAATTCACCACTTAAATGTTTGCATCTAACAAAGTTTAGCAAAATACAAAAAACTGTTGCTCATGTCTGCGACTACATAAAGGTTAAGAAATATTTTAAACGATTAGTTACGAGCGTGGGACGAAACTCTTAGTCCCCTACAAAGTAGTAAACGGCGAGAAAATCAGACACGCAGAAACTCGTAAGTGATTGATAAGAACGAGTAAGGCACACAGTAAGGCATGTAAGGTAGATCAGGATGTCTGCTGCGAGCTGTGTTTGAAGTCGGAGTGACACAGAAGAAAATAAATTTTAGATTTGCGGCATTGAGAAGCATTCGAAAGTTTGGTTGATGTACAAAGTCTGTGGAGAAACATTATAGAATAACACACTGTTGACTAAGATCACTATCAACGTAAAGGACAAATACATTTTTCCAGTGTGGTGCGGTCGAAAGGCACCCAAGTACTTCCAGGTAACATTTTTCTAATATATCTTCATTCAGTAGTTTCATTCAGTAGTTTCATTCACTCTGTGACAGGAAGAAGGAACTAAATATGAAGAAGTAACTGTCGGTAGAGCTGAAGCCGGTCCCAGTTCTTTATCAAATATATATGCGCGGCAACTTTTCTTGTTAATAATGTTATTTCCAAATTAGAAGTTATGTCAAAAGAATTAAGTCAGCAATTACAAGTAACTAGCGACAAAATGATTGAATTGACTCGAGTGATTGAATAATATTTCCCGTGCTTCGTGACACGCATTTAAAGAGGGTAATGACTGAAATAGATCGACCTCTCTCGAAATTACTGCATGAACATGAATAAATATGTTGATCGATTAATTCCGGGTGTGGGACGAAAATCTAAGCCCTCTAAGAGCAATCCAGCCACAGATCTTCAGATTTTGGGCTCCGATGTTCTAGCACTAAGTTGCAGAGAGTTCTACGGAGGATTGCGTTATTACTATATTCAAATGCAACACGCGTCCTGTATCCTGTAGATCCGTTTACACGAAATGTAAATAAAGTTGACGGCGGGAAAATGATTACAGTGAAACTTATAAATCATTCATAAGAAGAAGTAAGGCGCAGAGTGAGGCGTGGAAGAGACATCAGGATGTGTGCAAGGAGTTGTGTTTTAAGTCGGAGCTGCATAGAAGCAAATTAATTTTAAATTTGCACCATTGCGACGCATTCAAAAGTGTGGTTGATGTATACACTGAAGTCTGTGGGGAAACATTATGGGATATCACTGTTGGATAAGATCACTATAAACGTAAGGTTAAGTTTAATTTTTCAGTGCGGTGTTGAGAGGTGCCTAAGTACTTCCAGGTAACATTTTTCTAACATATTTTCATTCAATATCAAAATAGTTTTATAATCGTTCACTCCGCGACACGAAGAAAGAACCAGATATAGGGGAAGTAATCACAACTACGATTAGGAGAGCTAACGATCCCTGGGAACGTGGCTGGGTCAATTATGAAAAGGCCACTTGACCATTAGAGAGAAAATTTCCTTAAACATCTTTCGGGAATATCTTAGCTGTTTTTCAGCGATTTCTAAACCACTAGCGAATTCAAGAGATGTAATTTTCCTGTTTAATGACAAGTCTTCGTCAGGAAGGAATGTGAACCAAGTTTAGCTCGTATTTCTATGATTGGATTGCTGAAAAGAGAAAAAGCAGATATTCAGAAAGAAGCTAACTGTCAGAGGTTAATACGGTTATCACGGTTCGCTTCGAAGTCGTATCTTCGTTCTCTGCATGTCTGAAAAATCTATACGTCCATCATTAACGTAAGTTATTCAATCAATTTCGTATGTTAGACTCCTGTTATAAAGTCTGGAGATAAAACATAACATAAGCGTTTAGTACCACAACACTGACTTCTCGAGGCTTCCGTTGAGACTCGTCATGAAAATCAGCTCACGACTGTAGTTCTATATACAGTTTATTTAACGATACTACAGATTTGTTAACTGAGAATTCTTAAAAGTATTGCGATTTGATAAAATCATCGAAGATGACATTCTACAATCAGTATGTTCCTAAGGGATTTTAAAAGATTCAGTACAGTCCCTCTTTCACAAGTTGTGTTTTTGACATATGAACCGATTGGACAAGGACATATAGCCCGAGTCCAATTTGGCTATCAGAGGTATCTTTTGAATCCAATTATTTCCAAAATTAGCTAAGCATTTAGTCCTCTTACTTATTAGAGCGTGTCCATGAGAGAACCAGGAAGCGGGCGATAAACCTCAAATCACCGACTTGGCTCAAACTTGGCATAAATGATACGTATCATGAATTAACAAATGTGTGAAAATAATACGTCAAAATATTTAATTCCCTGGGAGATACAGGGTCCCCATGGGAAAACCCCCATTTCCTGCATTTTTGCATAATTAATTAGCAAACTTTGCATTGCTGCTGTGACAAACTGAAAATCCATCTGCAAATTCAATCAACTGGGTTGTATCAGTAGTTACGAAAACGAAGACCTAAGACCCCCTAGGAACACGGAGACCCCCTAGGTAAACGAAGACCCGCTACGAAAACGAATACCCCCCACGAAAACTAAGACCCCCTACGAAAACTAAGACCCCCTCCGAAAACGAAGACCCATTACGTAAACGAAGGATGAGTAGCGTACTGAAGTGTTTGATTAAGGCTTTGATTTGAAATTTTTTACCCGCAAGAAAATTTTTATTGAAATCAATCGGTCGAACTGCCATGTTTTATTCAAACAACGGTATATGTTTTCTCGCAGGAAGTGCAATTACCGCTAGTCGATGTTATTTTCATTAATAACTTATATCTTGTTGCTTCATTATGTACCACCATGTGCATGTCATGTCTCTTCGATTAAATCTCGTTTTAGCTTTAAAGTAGTCCCATTGAAGGCTCCATGGGGCTCTACTGTTGAAATATTCCGTAATGAATTATAGACGTGCCAAATTCAAAATTCGGGACTTCCGTAAGGATCTTCGTTTTCGTAGTTTGTCTCATGAACTTAATCTTTGTCCACAAAGGTAATACCAACCTCCTTTGAATTTGTTTTAGTAATGTGTCTTCGTTTTCGTAGGAGGTCATCGTTTTCGTAGGGGGTCTTCGTTTTCGTAATGGGTCTTCGTTTTAGTAATGGGTCTTCGTTTTGGCTCATCTTCGGTGTAAGAACTTGTGAAGCTCACGAGTGACGTAAAACAAAGACAACAAAACATTATAAACAATAGCGTACAGCAAAACAATACCTCATGAAACAAAGAAAACCTCGTCAGGTTTTTACACCGAGGATGACCCTTCGTTTTCGTAGGGGGTCTTCCTTTTCGTAATAGGTCTTCGTTTTCGTAGGGGGTCTTCGTTTTCGTAATAGGTCTTCGTTTTGTAGGGGGTCTTAGTTTTCGTAGGGGGCCTTCGTTTTCGTAATGGGTCTTCGTTTTCGAAGGGGGGGTCTTCGTTTTCGTAACTACCATTCTATTTCTATCAGAATTCAAGGAAATTGCATTGTTTTAACCTTTTCTTTGTTTTATTACCTTAAAATAACTTGAAATTTACAAGAAATTTCCCAGAGAGTATAGTTTAAACATAAACGAGGAGAGAATCTTTGCTGGGCGCAAGTTGAGCCCTTTTTGAGAACCTTTTTCGCAGTCATATTTGAATTATTCTCGAGGAAACGTAGCAGTTGATGATGAACATCAAGGACACATGAAGTCGAACTTTCTGACAAAAGAAATCTGGGAAGAAACTTGATAGTACATACATGTCTCTGTGGTGTCTCATTTGCAAACTCTTGGTTTGATTTCATTTGTTAGATAAGTAGCCATTATGTTAACAATGTACCAGATTCGATTTGCTTCGTTGCCTTGTCGAAATATTAAACGCAGACAGAGCTCTCGGAAAGATCCATCAAATAAATTGGTCTTTTATGGCGTGATACTTATCGATACGTGTTTGTGGCAAAAAGATAATTTGATGCCCTAAAAGCTGATGCTTGTCAGAAGAACAATCCGCCATCTTTAATCAGATCACGCCTGCAATTTTGTTCAGTGGTCAACTTTGACATTCATTTGGCATGTTTTGTTTCTAGTCTACAAAGTTTAAAATGTAACAAAGATTTACAACTACCAAAATGTTTGACTTGTTATTTGTTAAGCTTGAAATAGTAGCTGGTTCACCGAAAAAGAAATAAGCCCGTGATATATTGGTCTCCTCTCAGCACAGGAACAAAAAAAAAAAATAAGAAAATGGTTAAAAAACTGACACGTAATATAGAAATCACTTACATATTTTATCCGAGGTTTACTGCATACATTTGACATGTAACCTCTTGCGGTGAACTGTCATATCATATCTGGCCTATTCTGGCAGCCTCTTTGCCCCAGCCACATTGAAACTGATTATATGACATATACGCTCCACCGCTGAATAATATTGCCAGCTTGGTAAAGGATGGCGCAGCGTTGATCACGTAAACGGGGGAACTAGAACTAGTTTACCACGAGATCCAGTGACCCTTTAGCAATCTTCCAACATTGCATGTGTTTGGAAATCAGCAATGTTTAATTTTATTAAGGGATAAGGATGCATCAATGTCAAAGTTATCCAATTCAGTAAAAAATGATAATGGGATCAGTTTAAAAGACGATATCTATCAGACTTTAATACCACAGTGCTAGTCACACTACCATCGACTTTCTTTGGTGAAATATCCTGTCTAAGACTTAAGATTACTTTCCACATTCACGGGTTTCCTAAGGGAAAAAATCGCACGCGCGCCACTTTCATTAAATCATTGCAAACTATACATCAGAAGAAAGCTCAAAGCAAACTACCATTAAAATATAGTTTAAG